CGCTCCAATCACCACCGCCTTCTGGCCAAAAGTCCTGACAGCCGCCGGACAGCCGGCGTGAATCCTTTAAGTTTCTTTTGTTCGGAATGTACTAATGCCGGTTTTTCACTGTGTGATTTATCGGTTTCGAGGTTCAGAGTTCGAGTTTCAAATGCATTTTCCATGTTCCCCGGATCGGGGCTCCGCTGTCAGGGCTTTGGCACTCCGGCCGAAGAAGCTCCAACGAACCTCAAACAGCCTTGGTTACCTCTCGTTTCTCAGGGAGGGTGGGCCAACTATTTGGCTCTTAAATTGTCAACTCATCTCGAAGAGTAGTTTTTTGCGAGCCATAATAACCGAATGATAAAGTTTTCGTGTGGGAATGGGGAACAAATTGGACACAAGTCGACTCTCCACAAGTCAAATATAACATGAGCTTAAGTGAATGGCAATAGCTTTTTGAGTTACAAAGTGAAACAATATTTTGACATTTGCACACCACTCCGTCAAAAAGTAGACGTTTAAACCTGGTGTTAAATAAAAATAATTTGAAAATTGAATGGTTATCAATTTCCATTCCTCAAAATGCCTAGTGTCAAATGCCAATTATGGCGCATTCGAACCCAGTTCAAATCTAGTTAGACGATTAAATTGAACACTTGCAGCCGAGATCTAATCAGATTTCGGCTGCCGCCTCACGGTAGAATGGATGGAAATTGAAACTACAATCACAATTGCCGTCAAAGAGACGTTCGGTGGCTAATTAAGCCGCTGGGGTTGGCCCAAGTCACAGTGACAAGCCGCAATCGGCGTTTTGATTAAATATTGACCCCAAACGGGCTGCTGACCACGTCTTCGTCGGCTATCGCGCTGCCTGCAAACAATTACGGCTAAATTCATTAGTGAGCCATGCATAATTAAGGGAACAGCAGGCGTGACACCTTGTTCGAGGGCATTCGGGTGTCTTTTGGTCAGAATGCATGAGTGGCTCTTGGTTGTTGGGTGGTGGGTGGTTTAGTAGTAGGAATGAGGGGAAGGAAGGAGCGATGGCGTTTGATCAGCTGGGGCATAAAAAAGAAATCAATGTCCTTGCAGGAAGTGCCTTGGCAATTTGCAATCCTTTGTGCCATTACACAAAGCTTCCGTCGTCTACAGTCTGCATCCTGGCGATGGTCCTGCTCCTGCCCCTCCGATCTTAGTTGGCTCGCCTGCAGGCAAACGCTGCTGCAATCAAAGCGTGGCGTTAGTGTTTCAAACCAGCAGAAGCAGCGGCGGCAGGAGCATTAATCCTTCATTGGCAATCAGGAACCTGTGATGAACTCGCTCTACGGAAGTTGTAAAAACGCCAACGCCGCACACAAAGCAAACACGGAAGGGTATTTTCGGGGTATTTTCGGGAAACCCAATGGCTGGCGGCTTCCCTTTTGAGCCACCAAAGATGGGGGCTAACCAGTGGCACGGAACCGATTATAGTATTCAGCATTTGGATTCTGATTCAGATCCGACCCTGCGGGGCATTCGTCAAACGACGCATCAACCGAGGCAATTGTTTCGCCAAGTTTCCCTCTCGCTTTCGCTTTGTTCATTATGTACTTTCTGCTCCTTTCAGTTCAGTTCAGTTCTTTTATTTTCATTTTGGTTCGCCTCACCTCACCTCGCCCCGACTCGTTTCGATTCGTTTGTCCTTGGTCCGTGGAGCGGCAAAGGGGGTCCTTTCGGGCCGGAGGATGTGGCATAAACACTGATTGATTGATTAGAGGCTTGAGCCGGAGAGCTCGCAAGGGGCAGGAGCAGCAGCAGGAACGCAAGTGCTCGACTCGCACGGGGCACTAAACCTAATGAGAAGCCCTCGAGCAAGTGTCGCATCAATCAAGGACGCATTTAATGCGTTATAAGTGTGTGCGTATGATAGCAACGATTTCTCTTGATTTGCGATTATTGTTTAGGTGTATATGCTTCGTCTGACAGCCGGCGATTAGCAAAGTGGATCAGCGAAATGAATGAGTTCCAGGACCGCCACAGCTGACTGCGTCCTTTAAGCGCACTTTGGTCCCCTTCTTAAAGCAGGCCTACTTTTTTCCCTCGCAACAATACCAATTTCCCCCGTCTACGCACTGTCGACGTGGCCAGCCGGCTCAAGTGTCGGCGATTGGCATCAATGGCTCCGAAATCGATGCTAACTGGAGCTCGAGCAGAGCTTACCTGCTGCTGGCTCAGCATACTGACCTGTCATGGCTTCCGCATTAGAAACCGGTCAACAACCGGTCTCCTTTAACAACTTTTTCCATGCACTGAAAAAATCAATCTGAAACATGGTTTTCCACTTAATGATAAGCTGCTTTCGAAAAGAATTGAAATGTCCCAATGAACTGGGATTTTAGCTTAATATCTTCGAAAAGTTTTTCCAGATAAACTGAAGCTTGTGAACTTTGCAATTATATCTATCCAGCACAAGCAGAGATTTCCCGGAGTGTACCTATTGTTACACATCCTTTATTGACTCTATCCTGCGAACTATTTCATGTCATTCCAGAAAATCATATCAATTGGCTCGGCCACGGGTTTTCAACAGTCAGCATGATAGCTGCACAGATGGGTTTTCTGACGTGCTCTCCGCTCGTATTCCATTTTAGCTTCGGCTCCATCCCATCCATATCCCGCGTAAGGACACTTCTTCCCCCTCCATCGCTTTTTTAGACCGCTTCTTGGACTGTCTGTTGCCCCCCTGGCAAAGTGCTCATTATCAGCTGAAATGTTGTCAATTACGGATTTTCGTTTGTTTTGTTTTGATTTGACTTTCAATTGAATTTCTCCTCGGAATTTGAATATCCGGCATTGTCCTTTGTCCTTGGCGCTGCCATCGTCACGAGCGGTTGCCTTCCCAAGAATCCAAATCCGCCGGAGCCCCCCACTCCCGGTTTTCCCATTAAGTTGAGCGCCCTTTTCAAAGCTGGCTGCTTATGATGAGCTGGGTTCTTATTGGTAAACTGCAAACTTTGTACATAAAAAATTAATTTGATTATTTTTCCCCAGCGCTTAGATTTGCGTTAATGACGCCATAATCAACTGTTTTATAGCACTTTAAAAAAGTTAATCCGGCACATATACATGCACTGGACATTTTATTTGGCCGGAGCTGTAACTTTTTTAATTACACGGATTTCATGACTGAGGAGGGCGAAATTGTAGCCACTTGGAAGCGAGGAATAATTTGTTAATTTGCGCTGTTTATTATTTTGATCTACGCACTTCTCTTAATTCTGGTTAACGCATATACCTTAAATCAAATTATTCTCTCTCGTTTAACCCACCAGTGCGCTCAAAGGCGGTTGGGTGAGCATTTGCTGTGCGGAGAAATTTCAATTAAAATCATAATGAAATATTTGAAAATTTGTTTTTATCAAATTTGACCCGGTCTACCAATTTTGTGAATTCCTAATGCCAGAAAACAAAGACAATGGCCAGAAACAAAGGCAGAGCATGCGGCATTAGTTCGCAGGATAACAAACCCTGCCAGGAACCGCAAAATAATTTCCCCTTGTGCCCCGAAACAGACAACAGACAGGCTATTAGTCAGAGAAAGCCTGCTCCTCGGCCATTCAAACAATAACACCGAAACATTAAAGTTCAAAATGATGACCCGAACATAATCGACTTGCCTACAATAATATTTAAATTTAATTTAAATGCTCACATGAGGGCATTTAACAGAGTCGGTGGTCCTTGGCAAACCCGCAGGCAAACAAATCGATGAGGATGTGTCTCAATCTGCCGGACAATTTGCAAAACGATATGCTCGGAATGGAAGGTCGTTGGGCGTGCAAAATGCAAAGGCAACACTTCGTCCTTCGGCTTGTGTGGGGGTTAATGCGTTTGTTGTTTTTGCGGCACTGGGACTAGGACGATAACTTTGAGTCGCATGCTTAAAAGCACAAAATGATTGGAACAGCACAGCAGAGCATCCCGGTCCGGACTAATGGCATTTTATTGCTCCATCTCTCCGGATCTGGCTCTGTTTCTGGGTTTGTGTATATTTTCGGGGATTGCCGTTCGAAATTAGAAGCAACCGCTCTGCGCACTCGACCTTAAGACGATGAACGTTCAGCTGGGTGCAGTAAATGACATATAAGCCCCCGACCCGGGCTTAAGTGCTTAGGGCGCCTTGAGTTAATGCGTTGATATGATGATATCATTATCAAAATATCCAGACCCACCGTACGCTATCTGCAGTTGTATCTGTGGCTGTTTGCCTGCGGGCCATTTGTAACTTTTGACCATTAGCTTCTGTTTTTGCGGCCAAATGAAAGCAAAACAATTGGTCTTGCTGATTTTGTGGTCTAATTGATACACGAGGCAGACGTCTTGTCCTGTCAGCCAAGTTACAAATGCAACCAGCAACTGACAATTGTTTTCAATGTTTCGGTCAGCGTCTCCTCCTGTTTTGCAGCTCTTCCTCCTGGTCGCTGTCCTTCGTCACCTCCTTCCCTCCACACATCCAATCTATTTCAGTTGTCAGGGACACAGTCTCTCCTGGATGCCGAATTCAGCCCCCAGCTGTCAATCAGTAGGTGTGTTGACGGACGGGTCTGATGCATCTGTCTGGGCAAATGCTGCGTATGCTTAATGCCGTTTGGCACACACACACACACACACGCAGACGCTATGACACACTTGCACTCCCAGTTGTGTGCTGTTTAGTTAAAGGTTTTTGTCTTGCTGCAAAGTTTTTAAGCACGTCGAGCTGTTGAATCTTACGGACGCGTGTCATGAAAGCCTTACAAAGTTGTCAAACGGGCAGGGGGCACACATAGGATGTACTCTTTGTAGCGCAGAGCCATAGACAGAAACAAAGAGCACCGAGGATAGGATAAATAGACTGAAAGATGGAGCAACGTTTCAATTTGCTGCTCTGAAACTTTGACAAGTAGCCAGCCAGTTATCAATAAGCCTGAGAGAGCATCATCTCAAATATGATTATACGGTGCTCCAAACTTTTTCTCATGCACTGCAACTCTTTACAGCAGCAGCAGAAGCAAAAGGAGCAGCAGCAGCAGATATTGCGACTGTAGCGGCAACAAACAGACATGGCCAGCAAAAGGATCCGGCCAGAGGAGGAGCGGAAAGGAAGAAGGATGAGCGCCTGCCGACCGGGAGTCTTGCATACGGCATTCAATATGCTGGCGTTGAGCTGGATTATAATCTCGGAGTTATTGCTCAGTGGTAAGTGTTCAAAAGACCCATATATAAATGGCATATTGCAGGGCTTCCCGTTCTGCGTGCCCACTTTCATTCCCCATTCTCGTCAGAAAGTCTGTCATGTTAAACAAGCTGAATTTATTATGCCAACTGCGTGTGCGGGGCGTGGTTAAAATTGATTATTTAATCTACCAAATAGCAGTTTATATTATGCACTGGTCCTCCCACCAAGCCGACCAGGCCAGAAAACCATTTCGACCAACTTTTCCCGCCGAATGTCGGTGAAGTAGTCAATTTATTAAATGCCCCGGGAGTGTGCGAGCACTGGCCTTTGATTAATATTGGTTTGTTCAATTAAAGTTGCCATAATTTGACCAACCACATGCCTGTCACTCCACTCGTTTCCGTCGATACCGCAAACCGCCGGGAACTTTTCGAATGACATGGAGTTCATTTATTGAACACTCTTTGTTGTTCGCTTTTGTGAAGCGGTATAAGAAGTATATTCAGGTACAATGAATACGAAAACATTAAAATGTACTAAATGCCATTCGTTCTCAATCAGCTATTATTCACAAGCGATCTCGGAAATGTTATATTATTGCAGAAATCAAAGTTAATTGAACGTTTTTTGAGATGAGTATGATTTATCTTGCGGATTAACCTTACCTTAAATTGTTGATATTCATCCATTTATGCAAGTTGAGTATGTTATATGTACTTAACAAAGAAGCAGAGTATTTAATGCAATGATATTTTAATTAATTATCAATCAGAGTAAGATGTTGAGGATATATCCTTTGTTAATTGGCTCTTAACTAATAACATAAACAAAACAGCAACTCTAGAAACAAGATAACTTTAGTATTTTCACGTAGTAGTATTACATTTATTCCTCTTACCAAACAGAAGGTTGCAATTCGCCAGTTGCGAGATACACAAACACAACTCAAAATTAGCAAAACTACCCTTTCACGTGTTCTTATTGTTAATTTTTCACACAACAATCAATAAAACTCGCGATCTGTTTTTAAGAATATGAAGACGGCCGACAAACAGAGTTGCCACTTGGCTCAAAGTGCGATCGGTGTATCGATATTAATATCGTTATTCCACAGCACATTGGCGAATTTAAAAACCTCTTTAAAAACTAATTCGCCATTATATTATTTATTTAATCTTTATAGCCCATTCAATAAATTGTAAAATTCCTCATGTTAAACGCTTTAAAAATAAAATAATTTTAATTGCATATTCAATTGCACAGTATGACACTCTTCACTTAATTAATTTTACGCGCCGTGCTTATTCCATAATCATATTGGCATATCTCTTTAGTGGCGTTTATTTAAATTCGAACTCGATTCGGATGAGTCTTGTTTAATGTTGATAATTGCAGCAACTCGCGTTAAATTCAGCAATTTCCCCAAATAAAATCGAATAAAATAAATAAATTGCATTAAATGCAAGTCAAATTTGGGCCGTACCGTCGGCTTTGTCATAAATTAACATGCAAGTGGGGCTCCCTTTCCTTTGCCGCCTGGCTGGGTAATTGGGTTTTATTTTTCCCGTTTTTCATTTTTTATTCAGACGAATGTCTCCCTTTTTCCCACTGGCCATCGCATAATCGAATTCGTAAGGTTTCGCATACGCCATGTGGGTCGTGACATCGGGAGATCCTACGGTTAAACGACTTTTGGGACATCCTTTAATATTAATGCCCGCCTCTCCCGCCCTTTTTCAGCTCACTGCCTGAAGGATCTGAAGATATTTGTACCGGAGGCCGTCGTCATGGGAAATGCAGCGACATTGTCTTGTCAATACGATTTGGAGCAGGTAAGCGACACTTCCTCGAGGAGCAGCAGCCATGGATATTGTCGTCGGCGGCGTGCTTAATTATTATAATTACTTGCACTTTGTCTTGCCGAAGACACCAGTCGCTCATTGTCCTGGCTGCTGCCACTCCTCCCCCCCTATCCGCCCAGGCTTTTCATTAACGCATTTTCCTCCGTTCCTCCGCAGGCGGCGTTGTACGCGGTGCGCTGGTACTTCGGCCAGGAGGAGTTCTACCGCTACGTTCCCCGCGAGGCCACGCCCACATTTGTCTTCGCCGTCGCCGGCATTAATGTTGATGTAAGTTAAATTAAGCATGGGATCGCACAATATGCACTCGCTGCCACTTTTTATCCTATTAAGAGCGATACTTCTGGATTTGAGGACGCTAGTTCACAGATGGTTGTGAGACAGACACTCTTCTGCGGGTTTTTAAAAATATATCAAGATCTTAATCCTTTAAAACTATAGCAAGAAACAAACATCGTTTAATTAGAATAACTTTATTTAAGAGCCAAGCACTAACCTAGCCCAAACAATAATTCATGCTCTATAAACTATGCTAGATTTTTATGTTTTGTTTTTCAACTATAACTGTAAACGGTGTATCTTAGTCGGAGTCCCCGATCATACATATACATCTTAATTCCTTTATTTTTCGCTCTCCTATTGTCGGCTTAATGGACAAATCACTGGAGCAGCAGGGCATGTGTTTCGTTCGGACCGAGTTTGCATTTCAACAAATGCAAAATGGGAAAGCATTCGAATGTTGTGCAAATATTTAAATGCGGACAATGCAGGGGCTCTGTCCTGGGGCAGTTGCCACGAGCATCTTGCCGCCTCTGTGTCCCGCTTTCGGTGTCACCCATTTTATTTCTATTGCTGTGCTATATTTGTTCACTTTTATTTACAATATTCGGTGGTGTTTTGCATTTACAAGTGTGCCTGTAGCTGTGTCTGTGCGTTGTCTGTGTATGAAATATTCCGCTCTACAATTTGGAAAGTGCCACAACACACACACGAAACTGACTGAAATATTGCGAAAAGTGCAAAATAGTTTATGGCGCGGCTGCTGGCAAACAAAACGGGCAAATAAACAAACGAGTCCAGCAAAAGCAAGGAGCGGATGGAATAGCCCACCTAGTGGCGAAAAATGCTCGGCATTCGCTTTTCCATGCTGCACTCATTAATAAAAACAACAGCCGCAAAGTAAGCGATAAATTATTCGCCCAGAGTGGCGAAATTCTTCGGACACCTTTTAAAAATCACCGCCCTTCTTACTTTCGAAATGAATTGGGGGGCAAGACTACACGTTCTTAACACCTTTTAAAATGTTAAAATCAGAGGAAAAACATTTTAAAGCTTTCCGTTTATAGCCCCCTTAAAGTCCCGAGATAATATTTTCTGGATTTACGTACCAAATTACATCTGGTTTGTGCTGATCAAGTGCTTGTACGAGTATTCAAAAACAAGTCACAGTAACTGCGTCGATTTCCGAGGGATGTGGAAAACGAATCGATTGTCGTATAATAATAAATAAATAAAATTGAATTTGCCATGAAAAATTTGTGCGGACGAAATATAAATTGAAAACTCATTCGTCCGCACATAAAACTGCAAACTCATTTACAAACACTTCGGGCCACATTTTTCAAATGCGCCAAAAGGGGGAACGTTAAATAATCATAAATAATGGCATAAAACGAGGGCGAATGATGGAGTAATGTTTGTTTTATGTAAGCGAAACAAAGCAGCCGAGGGTTGCCGTCTCCCCGATAGAAACAATTTGCCCCGCTTCCGTTTCCGGTTCATCCCATCCAACCCATGCCACCGATATCTATTGGTCTTTTGGCCATCTCGACTTGGTCGATAATGGCGTGCTGGCCACATCAATCAGCGAGGACTTGATTAATTTGCTTTGATTGTGTCTTTAATTTGCACTCCCATGCAGTGGCCGAAACAAAAGGAAAGGCGAAAGGAATAAGCGAGTAAGCCGAAATAAAACGAAATAAAGCGGAATAAAATACAAATAAAATAAAGGGGCCCTGCTCGGATGTTAATTTGCCACTAATTAGCATTCAAAGGCATTTTTGCACTAATTAAATATTTCGATTGCAGCCGGCGGTCCTTGGCGTTCGGTGGGCGTGGCCAAAGCCAGTGGGCAATGGGAAATGGGAACTGGTAACTGGGAAGTGGGTGTGGCGTCAAGCTATGCGTGTTAATTATTTCCCGCTTTTTACCAGCGATTCTTTCCTCTTAGCGATTTTATTTGGCCTTACATCGCCAGCGAATTGGAAACTATTCAAAAAAAACGAGCACATACACAGAAACCAATGGCATTGAGGTTAATGTGGATTTTTTTTGTAGCCTACTTATGGCAGCAGCTGGAAACTCATTTTAATTTGAGCAAATTTCCACTCCACTCCCGATGCGAACTGCTTGAGACGCAATCAGCCGTGAACCGCAAAGGTGAAAAGCGTAAGAAAAGATGGGAAATCCGAGTGGAGAGCGAGCTGGAGCTCTGGTCGATTGCATAATGCAAATGATTTAGCCAGCGTGCTCGCCGTGCAATTAAGTTTGAAGGTTGGTCATAGTTTTAGACCCCCGACGATGATGCTGCCGTGGCCGAAGCCATGTTAAAAGGTGGCTTTTCAAAAGTGCAAAAGTGCAAAACTACTACTACACAGGGAAAAAGTAAGAAAAAATGGTGGAAAAAAATGCTCCACACCCCGGGGCAGCTACAAATCGAAATGAGGCGCCATCAGCCAGCAGCTGTGTTTTCCAACTTAAATTGATAGTTGCCGGCACTAACGAAGGCAAACGTCAAAGGCCAGCCCGCAAATGGAAATGGAATTTTTAAGTTATGCCAAGGCAACCGGGCCAAATGAAGGGGGCTCGGATAGCGAGCCAGCTACGAAATTGTGGCAAGTGCCTTAATTGAGATTAAAACATTATAACTTGACTTGTTTTACTTTTGCTAAATCATTTCAAACAGCTAAACACGCTTAATGAGAAAAGTTACGACCGTGCCAAGTTGTCGGCCATTATGCATATGCATATTCACATATCTGTCTCTATGTGTGAGTGTGAGTGTGTGTGGGGGTGTGCAGTGTGTGGTGTGTGTAGGGTGTGGAGCGTGTGGTGTGGGGGCGTGTCATAGGTGTGGAGTGGGCGTGGCACATAAAGCATCGAGCACTTGAAAGGCAGCTGCAGCTTCTGATGATCCTGCCGCTGACATCCCAGGCACTTGTGGGCGCTGGGTGCTGGGGGCGTGGTCGACCGGAGTGCACTCGTGTCGTCCACTTGAGCGTTATTGGAATGTAAATGTATGCATATTAAGGCGGTGGGCAGGAAGTCGTTCCGCCGCCGAGTCGCGTCGACAAAACTTCAAAAGTCATTCAGCGCGGCAAAGCAACAGCCACGCCTCCCCGCCCTCCCCCATGCATCATCACTTAACAAAATATTTCAAGCCTAAAGATATACAAACATATAAAAGATAAACTCTTCTTCAATTGCTAACCATAAAAACACAATGATTTCATAGTTTCAAACTTCATCTTTCAACTTTATTTCATGCACCTTTTTTTTTACCAAATGCTACCTGATGCATTATCTGAAACTGTAGTCCCATTTTCTCTCAGTGATCTACCTTACACATGTCGCACGGGGACCTCAGCTAGAAAAAAAGTAAATATATGAAAGCGAAAAGCGGAAATACACAGGAAAACCATCATGTTAAATGTAATTAAATTTTTAATTTAGAGACAGCGCTCGCTTCGCTGGCAATCTTCAATTAAAAACACAATTACCAGGCCCGCCCGCTGAGTGGGTTGAGGGTCATCCTGCGAAAGGGTGAAGGGTGGGGAGGGGGAGAAGGCATGTCGAGCGGGACAGGAATAGGATATGCCAAGTGCTCCAAAGTTTTGTGGCTTATTCATTGTCCGCTACAACAATAAAATCGCCAGCAAGCAGCCAGCCGAAAGGCCTCGCTCCTTCTGTCTCGCTCTCTCTGCCGTCGGCTTTCGGGATCCGTTTTCCCTCGATTTTCCTCAGACCACTTTTCCAGCCGCGAAGCTCTCAGAAATTTGCGCCCCGAAAACTTTTTGCACACTGTCAACACGGAAGGAATTATTCCGCATTAAGTTTGCGGTAATGGCAGCGTCAGTAGTACTCGCACACACACACACACACAGACAGTGTCCTTTTGGCTTTCGGAGGACGAAGTGTCCTGGATGCTGGCGCGTTTGCTTTTAACATTGTTAATAACCCGACACGCCTCGCATTTATGCACAGCAATGTGCGCTTAAAATTAATGCACTTGCCACTGGGAAATTTCAGCGGAGGTCGAAAGGGAAAACTGGCGACAGAAGTGACCGAAAAAGTTCACCGCTCCGGGGTGCCTCGCAGTCTACGGTCTCGGCCAGGACTGCTGATTTGAATGTACTCCCAGGGGTTCTTTTTTTTTTGGGTTCCTTAGGCAGTTGTTAATTAGATGCACCAGACAGGAGAAGGAGGAAGGCATTAAGGGGTCAAGAGGGACAGGCTATTTATATTTCGCTGATCCAGGCGAGATTTAAGGTCTAATTGAGTTTAAACATGTATTGCAACAAAAGTTTCTTTAAAATCTATCTTAAAACGGTTGATTCCATTAAAGCAAGTTCTTATTTTCAACTTTAAACTCAATGCCATTAGAGTTCCCCCTTTTGGAGTTCACTTCAATTTCCATTAACAACTCAAGCATGTCATTCGCAGGCATTTTCCCAACCCCTTTCCCCCTGTTGTTGTTTACGCCCTTCTGGCGGCCTTGGCTAGAAATTGTTGTGTGACAAATGGCAACAAATAAACATAATAAATAAAAGGCGAAATGCATCCGCGAAGGGGCACACCGAGCTCTCCGCAATCGCAGGGTGTAACTAGCTGGGTCCTTCGTCCTTCTGCCCAAAGGCCGCCAAATGGCAGAGGTTCTAGAGTGGAATGGTGGGTGGTTCGGCGGGTGGTTCGGTGGGTGAGAGACTAGCCCCATCCACATTGGCGTGCTGTTGTCTGCCTGCGCCAACAATGAGCACAATAAAAAGCCATGCATTTTCCAAACACCAAAAATTGTTCATAGCAACTGCTCTGGCAGCGAAAGAAGAATAACAACCGCACCGGAAACATCTCATTCACTAAATTTGTGGTCGGTTTTTCGCCAGGCGTTAGGCAGTCGAAGTTGTGAAATGCCAACGGCAACTGGAAAATTCGGGTGGCCTGGCAAAATTGGTTGGGGGAAAGCGTAGTAGGAGTGCCGTTAGTTACAACAATGCTCGAGGCAACGGAAATTCGGCATGACATAATACGTGCACATGTGAGTGTTAGTGTGAGTGCGAGTGAGTGTGTGTGTGGCAGGAATAGGAGTGTGTGGTTGTGTGGCCGCGACTTGAGTTGGTTGATACAGCAATAATTCATAAAGTGTTGCATGCAAACGAGGATGCTGCAGCTGAGCCAGGCTCGCATAGATACTCACACAGATACTCCGCATCCGAGTAAGAGTGTGCCTCTGTATGCCTGTGTGTGAGTGTGTGCGGCATGCGACAGCGTTGGCAAAATTAAAATTGCCGCACAACAAACAGCGGAAACTCGGCGAGGAGCAAGGACGAGGACGAAGAGGAAAGAAAAAGGAAAATGGCTGTGGGAAAATGCAGGGAAAATGGGAAAAGTGAGCCAGGGCACTGCAATGAAATTCATTGTATTCTTACAACTCGACGACTCTGGCAGCTCAGCTCAGCCGGGCCGAGCGCTTTTTTGCAGTAAAGTTATTATTTCATAAAGCCAGAATTATTGAAACAATACTTTACTCTCACACATGGGTTGGAGGGGTTGGCCTGTGTGTGTGTGTTTGTGTGTGTGTAAAATATATGGGTGGGGGGAAAACTCCTGTGTGTGTTTGGCATGCAAAATTACGCTTTAGTGGCATCATTTTTTTTTTGCTGCCAGAAAGTTGCAGCTGCGGCTGCTAAAGCAATATAAAATATAAATAGAAATTAAAATCCAACAAATAAAAACGGAAAACGGTGAGGGCCGAGTCGGGAAAAAAAAACTTTTCACGACAAACGCAACTTGAGTTGAGTTTTCCCTGCCTTTTCTGCTTTTTTCTTGTAGTTGCCCGCAGGAGCAGTTACAAAATGGCTACAGTTTCATGCGAGTAAACTAAAAGGATGTGTGTGCGGGTGTGGGAGTGTGTGTGTGCGAGTGTGTGCGAGTCGGCTGGGCACATCATTCCTCAAAATGGCAGACATTTGTTTGGCGCAGCTTCCTGGCGCTGCCACTTCCGCTTCCGCCGCAAAGAGCCACCGAGAGCAGCAACAAATAAAGTCACATGCAATTAAATAAATATGACAGTCGCAGCAGCCCGAACAACAAGAAAGAGCCCAGCCGCAGCAGCCACATGAAGCAGTTGAATAAATAAAGGGGACAGGAACAACTTTCCGTATATGTTTGATTACATAATTAGTGTCATTTAATTAGAAGGGGTCGAAATCCCCCCGGGCGTTGTGAAAACGGAACGCATTCGTATTGCCTGCACAGTAAAATAAAATTATTTGCTTTTCAAATATTCTAATAAAGTGAACATTACTAGAGATTCAATCCCCCGCAATTCAACTAAATAACCTGGCTCGAAACAATAGATGCAATTATTATTTCATGTTAGAAAGCAATAATAAGTTTTTAAGCGGCTTGAGTTCACAAGTTTACTTGGTTTACATTGCAAATATAATATGTAATGAAAATATTATATATTTATCAGATTATATTAATTGCACTTTATTTACTATGCAAGCTTACCATAGTAAAATAGTGTCGGTTGTTGATCCTCGATTGTTTCTGAAAAGTTTAAACAGCATGGTTTTAATATTTATCCCAAAACTTTTCGATGGCAGGGGCAAGCAGTTGACTTCCCAAGTTGCCAGCTCTCATAACTCATGCAAACCAGTGCAAAATCATAATGTATCTCTGGGCCAGTGCGCATTATTCATGGTCCCGACTCCTACTCCTCCCGTTCCCCTCTGCATATAGAGAACCTTATCAATACGTTTCGCATTTGTTTTCATTTTACGATTGCGTAACGAGATCAGCGTCGACAAATCCGAAAGCCACTAAAACCACAGCTCGCCAGGGGCCACGTAGCCATTCCATGGCCAATATGCCAATTGGCAACCGCCACTAAACAGGCGGAATCGGAAGTGGGGAGGGATGGGTTGGGTTGGGGGATAGGGTGGTGGACCAGAAGGTTTCTAGGTGCCTTTCGGCCCTTATCGACGGCGTTATCTGCGAATGAACTGGCACAACTGGCTGGAAAGAAAACAACAAACTAAATAGGAAAAGCCAGGCCAAGCCGAGCAATGCGCCAAAGTGTTGAAACAATCGTAAAAAGCTGTTGTTTGCCACGGGGCACTAGAAGCGGGGAATGGAGGTTCTCAGTGGATGCTGCCACCAGAACTGCCAGTGCCTCTCCCTGCAGTGGCAGTGGGATATATATCCTGCCAATGGGAGCCGCCAACTACAACGGCAGCCACGCCGGGATTAGTACAGATGCAAATGAACAAAGCGATGGCAACGTTCGCGCTCTGGCTTTGGTGGCATATGCAAAACTCGAATGGGTTGTTCTCGCTGCTGCCTGAACTTAAATACAAAAGGCCAGGACTGCGATAAAAGGACCACACACACACGTATATACATACACACACACACACATACACACGGGGTAATCGCGAGTGGTTCGCTGCTGAAGTGGATTTTGAGTAGGATATTGCACAACAGTTTGCCAAGTGGCAAGCGCTCGCTGGCAATTAACAGAATATGCTAAACTGCGACAACGAGAGCAACTCGAGAACCAAGTGGCTTCGAAGCGGGCATACCCTGTTAAAGGGCCAGCGAGAGGGTGAATTAATCGGCCGGGCAGCCCGCAGGGTTCGGCATTTCCCAACCCAATCGGAATTCGGCTTCTGGTACTTACTCATGCTCTGCTGATTATCAACGAAAGCCCGATGCCTGCGCTTTTCATGCCGATCAGCCAAACTTCCTAAAACGAAATTTGCCGAAATGGGGAGTTAAATTCACATCGGATATTGGCAGAACCTATTTCAGAATACCCGTTCATGTTTTCTAAAAACAGAGTTATACACAAAACAACAGTTTTGCTTAATTTTCTGATGAATCAAATAGTTAACATCCTAGGATTTTTCAGTGCATTAATACCCCTTTCCCAACTTGCAGCTCACCAAATCGGACGCCACGTCGGTGACGTTGAAGGGTGTCACCCGGGAGCTGAGCGGCAGCTATCAGTGCGAGGTCTCCGAGGACGCACCGCTCTTCCACACGGAGATCCGCTCGGCACACATGCAGGTGATTGAGCTCTTCAAAGGCGATCCGGTGCTGCAGGTGAGCAAGAAGATGATTGGCGCCAACGACCTCTTCAAGGCTGTGTGCACGGTGGGTCCTGCGTTTCCGCCGGCCAACATAACCTGGTACATCAACACGCGAAAGGTGAGTGGACTGTCATTTCAGAATATGCACTTGGTAAATAAATTTAAGATTATGCATAAAGCACTCCATTGAATAAATTATAAGTAGTTAGCATTTTACTTTTATGGGAGATTTTTTATATGATTCAATACCTAAGTACTGATATCATTTCTCATTCCCCCAGATATTTAAGACGGCGCTCCAGCGCATCAGGTACGTGGCCTTCGACGGGGGCAAGGCGCAGTCCGAGCTGGAGCTCTACCCGCACAGCGAGGTGCTGCAGGTCTTCTTCGACGGGAAGTACCAGGGGGTGGACGTGATCTGCGAGGCGAACCTGCTGCACCTCTACCACAAGAACAGCGTGGAGCAGGTCGAGCTGAGCATGCTGCCGCCGACCATCTCGCCGAACCTGCTGGGCCTCGAGGGCTCGAAGCGGTACGCCAACGGCGACCCGGACAACTCGGCGCTGACCGGCGCCTCGCAGCGCTGCTGCATCTGCTGCGGAGCCCTTGGCGCCCTCTCGCTGGCGGTCCTCACGCTGGCGGCGACTCAGCTGTGACCAGAGCGGACCGCTTAAATCGTCAACTGGCAACGGAACGCAGCCGGACAGTCACCCCGCAGAGGGAGTAATTAAAAAACAACACACAGAACGCCGTTCGAACAAGTGAAACGTGCTTAATTTCAAAGAGACAACAAAGGAAATGCAAAAATCAAAAGCGAAAAAATATTGTGGGAGGTGGGGAAAATTGTTGATGACAGCGACCCTGCACTGCCAACGCCTAGTAGCATGTCCTTGTATTTTATATTTTTTTTATTTGCCTCATTCGCCAAACAAAACAAAAAACAAGCAACTGGGTCGCAGTCCATAAGTTCAAAGCGAAGGAATATTTTCAATGCGTTAATTAATTTGCGGTGGCTGCATACAAAATTCTGATAATAAACAATACATTTAATATAAGTCAGACGGGGCGCATTTCCACACAGAGCTCGGGCAAAGGTCGGTGGAAGGTTAAAATAATAATAGTAAAAGTAAATATATAGCGTAAATTTAATACGTAACACGCGTAATTACATGTTGTGGATACAGGCGTAACGTGTTGAACTCTTCGAAAAAAAAAACAAAACAAAAAACGAAAAACGCCTGCAGAGAAAACGAAGTATAGAAAAAACCAATCCATAAATTTAAATAAATTAACACATGCACTTGCAAACAAAACTTGCAAATCAAATTACATAACAAAAGAAAAACAACAATTAATAAGCATAAGTGAGACACATTTAAATACTAAGTACACCCTACCCTCCAACTACCGCAGCCTAGGCACATAAGTTATGTAAATAATTACTGTAAAGAACTCTACAAACGAAAAAAACAAAATAATAAATTAACAAACACGAAACCCTCACATGGGCAAACATTAATTAAAGCTAGAGCAAAGTGTGGAGAAAGAGTTAAATACAAAACTAATTAAGTCCTTGTGAAAAATCAATGAAATCAAAAAAAGTCAAAAATTGATATCGGCCAAATTCAGTTTGATTGGATTTGTTTAATTTTCAATTGTGGCTTATTTGCGGTAGCATTTGTCCATTTTTCTTTGAAAGTTTAATTTCCGTTGAACGGTTTGTGTTAGCAGCATAAGATGGACTTTGTTTTAGATTAAATTTACATAAATAAATGCAAAATATATATTTATCGAACAAAACTTGTCGAGGCGAGAGAATTTAGTGCGTATATGTTAGTTGGAAGATGTTAAGAGTATATTCTGTGGAACTAACTAAAAGTAAATCCAAACTCCTTGGCCAAAGGACTATTTTTAGATGTTCATGCGCAGCGCTAACTCACAAAAAGATTCAGGTTGCGTTTGATTGTACATCAGGCTCCGCATACTTGTATTTCTCAGCTAAGAATCGAAAATTTGGAAGCCTTTCCAATTTCAGTGTAAGCTCGAAAAGCAAAATATTGTAAATCAAAACAAACAGCAGAACGATATTATTTTAGCGAGTTGCGTCAGGTGGAAACAACTGAGACCCCAACTAAACTTAACTAAACTAAAACGGCAACTAATAATAAAATGTAAAATCAAACTTAAATACAGGAAAACAATGAAATAACACAAGCCAACGAGAGCCGAGCGAATGAGTCAACAGAGGAAATTATATATTAAATATGCATAATTATGAATAATTTAATGCGAGTTAAGCAAAGCCAAAAAGGTCAAACGAAATCAAACCACACAAAAACCGACAAAGAGCACGCCGATGTGGGCGTGGAATTTAGCTCAAAATTAAATGCGATAATGGCAAGAATTATATGACGAAATAAATAAATAATATAAAATGTACGAACCGTGTTTTATTGCCATTTAACAGGGGCTTAAATATCTCTTTGCGTAGCGACGCACTTTAGGTGCGCATAATTAAGGCAATGATCCCGTTATTAACGCACACATACAGGGGTGTCCTGCCAGGATGCCACTGTAGAAGTTGGTCCTTGTTCTCGCGTCTGCCCCACAACAGCTGCACTAACATGCAACACCAGTTGCCAGTTGCCCGTTGCCAGTTACCAGCTGAAGCTGATACCGCTGACACAGCCGGCGAGTGCTGAACACACAACAGGGGACCAGGATCGAGGAACCAGGGTGCGAAGACCGGAGACCAGAGTCCTGGGAACAGGACCTACATGGGGCCATCGCCAGCGTCTCATGTTTTGTAAATTAAGCAAACAAATTAAGTGCACTTGGCGCCCGGCTGGCACACACACTCTGCGCTCCCCATGTAAACACATTGCGATTGTAACAAAAGCACATATATCAAAACACGTACGCCGGCTGCAGCCCTTTGCGTTCGTCCTTGGCCAGAGCTGCCGCTCAAGGACACCCCTCCCCCTTCGCCATGCGCACACCTTAGTTTGTCTTAATTAGTTGCAGCAACAGCGGGAACGCCACATCCCGTGGCACGCAGCAAAGGCCACAGAACGGCAAAGCCACCGACTGCAGCGAGGCCGCGACCCAGCAGCTAGTATTATTTACAAGCCATTGGCTGCCACCAAGAACCAGCCACAGTTTCAACTTTGCCCCACCACCAGCCACGCCCCCTTCCCCACTTCTCATTCGCCTTCAGGTAACTTGCCTTCTCAACCCTGTTCGCCCCATAATTGTGCAGTCATCGTGCTGTTTAAAGTTTTACACGTAACCATATTGCCAAAGCGCTCACCTCGCCCACACACACTGCGACACACATGGCGTATGCGTAACGCAGAATGAGTAGGCAAAACGCCACGGCATTACGTATACGTGCTGAAGAACTCAAAACGAAGACCTCTTCAATCCTGCTCAATACTGCTGACACAGCCACTAAGTAAACATGTAGCTCATTCTGCTGAGTAAATCAACTATAATTACACTTGGCAACAAAGGAGTGGAAGAAAATTGGGGAAAGTAATGATAGTTATTCGGAATGGTAAGTGGGAGAAACTCTATTCACTTCTCAGTACAAGTCTTAAATTCTGTAGATTTTTGCTTAGAAAAACGTATTGATATTAATTAAATTGAATTAAAACTATTCAAAATGTTTTTTCACTATCGGTGAACTCTGGAAACTTTTCAAACTTTGCTGAAACGTGTTTTCGATTTGAATGCCAGCTTTAACTACTATATATAACTGATGCTAATCCGGAGTCGCTGTGCGGGTAAGCCAATACTAATGCAAATGCGCCATTTTAATTAAATGCGTATCGGGCCACAAATAATGCAAATGGGATACTGGGAAACAGAGGGCTGCTCTGCTAAAAACATCAGCCAAATGAGTTGCATATTTTGAGCCATGATCTCTCGCTCCCTTCGAAGTGGGAGCTTTGAAAAGCCGGGACAATGTTTCACAGCCCCTTTCTCGGGGGCGTGGCTGCGTCGAATGATTTGGTTTATGGTCCCTGCATGCATTTAACAACACAAAACGTCGGCAGCAAACACAGTGGCCATTGGCCGAACGGCCAGCTGACTGGCTCGCATTGCGAACGCAAAAACATTGTTAAAATACAGCAACATTTTTGGATTTATAGCGCGCTAATCGCGGCCAAACAGCAAACGGGAGTGGGCGGCCAGCGGCTGGGGGAGTGGCATTCCGAATTGTAATGGAAATTGAAATGCAAATGCACGGCATGACATTTACGAGTGCTCCTTCTGCAGTGGCAACAACATCAGACAAGAGCCAGGACAGCCGCTGCCAAAAACTCCACAATAAAATGTTGCAACTAAATACACGGAGAGAAGAGCAATAGGTGGGCTTAGTAAATAGTTTAAATTGCCTCCAGGAACTAAGAATGTTTTATTTACCAAAAAGATTGCCGACCCTTTAAAGTTGTGTTTATCTGGTGGAATGTTTAAAGTCCTCAAGATATTAGTCCCTGAAATGTTGTTCTTTTCAGCAAAAGTTGCAACTCAAGTTTTAAGGAAGTCAAGCTATGAATATGTTGAGTTTTTCCCCCAGTGTTTAATGCGGCGCCTGTCGCTAAAATCGACGTGCACTTGGCAGTCGGCTTACTTGGCCGGCATTGTGTTTTCATTTCGCAAATGCAAAACAAGACGCTGCCGGCCACGCCCTCGAATCGAGACAGCCTATAGATTTATGGCCGCGCAATTAGCGGAAGAAACAGATTCTCGCCGGGGATAAATATAAATTCATGGCCTAGTCGAATTTCAGGCGTGGCTCCCCGCTTTCCGGGGAGGAAGTGCCGGGCACAAACGTCGTTTTACGACGGCAGAAGAAGGAGATTGGGCCCGAAAACTGGCGATGAACATCTTTTATGACAACCATCCGACGCCTCGGACATGCAGCTGTCGGGAACGTGATGAATGCAGCTCTCGGAGACGACGTTGCATCATAAATTCAGCAAGTGACGTTTAGCAGCATCAAGAAACGGCTGGATCCGGACTCAGAAGGTGATGGCGATGTCGGTGCCATAATGCTGCAGCTACGTGCATTCCATTTGGCTCTGATTCGAGGCCATTGATCAATTCAAGCAGCTTAAAGCCATAAATTGCGAGCTCTGAACTCGAAACTAGCAAATAAACACACTTATTATGGCCTGCGTAGCGAGATCGAGGTTCGGAATGTGAAATGAATCCGATGTCGGAGGCGTTTAGCCAATCGCTTGAGCAAATTGACTTTGCCTGTTTTGTCAGACGTTGTTTGGCCTGGAAATTTGTTAATTCTGCGTTGAATTAAGATAAAATCTGCTTACACTGGCTTATGAAACCAAACATCTACTCAAGCCAAGCCCACTCCACCAAGGCCAACCCTTTTCCGTTCTCCGTTCGGGAAAACTCTTTTGTTGATGGCCAGGGGGGAAGGGGGGGATTTCTCCCCGATTGTTTTCAGATTCCGAGAACAACAAGAGCAACTCGGCTACAGTTTATTATTTTTGCTCATCAGTGGAGCCTCCTTCAACTCCCACGCCCTCTTGAGATAATTTTGTAGGCGCTTTTTTGGGCTGGAGAAGCGGAGAAGCCCTTTTACAGCAACAATTTGTAGCGCAGAGATTAAAACTTTTAATTTGCTTTTAATTAATTAAGTTGAAAATCACAGTGAAAGTCACCGGATTCCTCGCCCAACTCTCTCTCATTTACACGCCGAACAACCAGTTGGCAAAGCCCTTGTCGTTGATTTTTCGTAAATGAAAGTTGAATTTTTATAGTTGTTTAACTTGCTGGGCAAACTCGTTTACCTGGCGTTTAGTTTGCTATCATTAAAGTTTGCCCGGCTTAAAGCGTGTGTCTGCTATTTCGGAGCGCTCCACCATTAGTTTCTGACCCAATCATCCACACGTTCTTCTGTGGTTACTTGCACGCCGACTTGGCTGGGAGCATTCATCAAAGTAAAAGTGGAAAAGTTCCTCCTCTGCGGGAGTGGCCATATGCAATTCAATTTGCATGGTGTCCTGCGCACCAGAAACAGAAAGCCGGTAAGATGCCTTGATAATGGCCAAATAAGTTAAACAACCAGCGGAGAGACGAGGCTATACCTAATTGAAAACTTTACTCGATCAGGGCTCCCCGGAAATTGGCCTGCTCATGCGGAGCATCGGAATATTGTCTGTCTGGCGGGTTTAACATTTCCACACTTCAGCTACTCATGTGAAAGCAGTCAAGGCAATGCCACCTGATATTTAAAGGCAGCTGCAGCTTTTGGCCCGAAAGCAGGCTACACAGGCTACACGATTGTTACATCACTCGATGCAGTCGAAGTCCGCCGTCTTTCGGTTTCCTTATTTTTCAGCTTTTACCCTTTGCCATGTATCTTTTGGCGGATTCTACACTAAGAATAACTGGCACTTTCAAGTCGACTTGGGTTTCAAGGCTGCAAAATAGAAAAATAACGATATTTCATTTCAAAGTGGCTTGCAACTGTGTCATGAAAGCAGGACGCCTAGGATATCTAGAACACCATTTAAATATCTGAAAATGTGGGTTATTCTGATTGTCTCCGGGGAGCCAAGAATGATTAGGTTTTTCTTGTAGTGCACATATTTTGGGGCTGCCTCACGTGCTTGCCGCTCCTTTGTATGCTCAACGTGACGGAAATTAGCGTGGCTTTCGTCTGTGTGCGACTATGTGACTGCGTCCCGTATTTATTCTTCCACTCCGCTGTAGTTATGACTGTACTGTACAGAGGCAGACACACATGCAGCAGCACCCTTAGATTCCCGAAAATTCTCACTGGTATTTCTTTTTTATTAATTTTTTCTCGCTGGCTCTGGCAACTGTGATTGATGTGTGCACATTGCTGGGGGGCTGGGAGGCTGGGATACTGGGCGACTGGGGAATTCCCCTTCGACAGCCGCAAACAAACATTTTACGTTTGAGTACGCGCCACTTTTGGTTCGACGCTCCATTCTGCTTTACTTCGCCAGAACACGAATTTGCGCATATTTGCTTTATATACAAACACGCCGAGGAGCGCTCACATGCACACACTTCACAATCTTTTATCATAATTTCGATGCTGCACGCCTCATAAATTTGTTTGCTGAAAACATTTTCACTTCATTTATTAGAAAAAACAGACGGCCCACTGCGTTCCGACCCGACCCACTGGGAAAATGCAGTTCCACCAACCGACGGCAACCATCCTTTTATCAACGCCCCTGAAAGCCATTTGCATATGAAATTGCAGCTGACTGTTTTCCATCTTGGTCAATTATTTGGGCAAGGCGGCCGCGCTCAGCCTTTTATGCGTTAATTGCTTGAAAATTGAAACATGAAATTAAATGAAAACAGCCTTCGACGCGCCACTGTCCGCGGCATATAACTCATTCGCCGCGTGCACCATAGACTGGCAGCCGGAA